TATTAATAAAATCGTGTAAAATAGAAAAAATCAAATAAGAATCGACGTCAACAAAATATTTGCCGCCATTCCTTCCGGCCTATATTTCCTATATATACGTAGTTAAAAAAAGATCCTATTCACCTGTTACCGTAGATAAAATGAGAGCGAGAAATAGATTTGAGATAAGTATCGAGGCAACCGTTGGCTGAATGCCAACAAAAAGTCAGCCTACCGTGATCCTACCGTCCTTCAAAAATTAAAGAATGATGGTGTTTTAGTAAAATATTTCCTACCAATGGAAACGGTTTTCGGCCTCATTGTTGGGCGCATTACAAATTACGAGGCTTAGGTGGTAAGCGAGAGGTAAGAAGGACGTACGAGCAATTGTCCAGCTGTTCCTGGTCGGCTACGTGGGGGTGGTGATCTTGTCCTCGCACTTCAGCCTCTGCTCATCCTATATTATTTGGGGGCAGAAATGGGTTAAACACAACACAGAAAAACGGACAGACTCTCATTCCCAACATTTACGCTGAACCTCAGATGACGTCAAGGTTCTTGTTGGCCGCCCTCCTATGGCCGTCTTCATCCATAAAAATAACACCTATGTACTTCCAGACGGCCCCTTTATGTTGCTAAAACACAAGTACGAGGGAGTTAGCCTAGCTATAGGCAAAAACTTCACTTTTACCGCATTATAATATTTATTCTTTGCATTCTAAGTAAAATTTCGTAACACTAAAATACATGCTAAAACTAGGCGTTCAATGGTGAAAATTCATACAAATACAATCATACAATTCATAAAAATTGATTAGATACAAAATAAAATCTACGACATAATATAATATCTCTGCCTAAACCGGAATATTAATGAAAACAACTTAGAACTTCGAGATAAAATTTCGATCTAACCTGCGAGTGGGAGCGAAAGAGACGTTCATATAGGGGCGTAAATTCAAACACATTAAAAAGGGTTAATCCTACGCAGAGACTCATAGCAAAGCAAAATCAAATCGGGCACTTGCACTTGAACTTGAAAACTCATTCTTGTCTTTATTTTTATTCGCCAGTATTTTTATTCGGACAGTGGGGCGCGAATTTAACATTGCAGGGCGCACAAATTTATGCTCAATAGTCTCTCTTACTACTCATTAAAATAACAGGATTTATCTCTCACCAGAACTCCGGATTTCCCTCGACGAAAGCGCTTCCGTTGGATTCCGCACCTGTTAGAAATACAAAACAAAGAAACACAAATTTTCTTCTCTTTCCTTATTACCACTATTTTTACGATTCTAACCCACTGTGCCCTCTAGGCATCTCACTCTTTCTCGCACTATATTCTTTGCGGAATTAAACTGAAAAAAGGAATAGTTTTGGCCACTAAAAGCGATTCGGCCACGAGACGGAGGACTGGTGCCCAATGTGCGGCTCCGGCGTCGTCGAGGACGCTCGGCACATGCTGTTCGAGTGCCACCGGTTTGACCACAAGCGACAGGAGTTGGAGGCGGTAGCAGGGTCCAGTATCGTGGCAGAGACACTGGTGCCGATGATGCTGGCAGACCAGCGTGTTTGGGAGGCTACAGCGACATTCGCCGCGGACGTCATGAAGTCTCTCAGGGAGCAGGAGCGAAGGCGAAAGGAGCAGACAGAGTAGGGGTCACTGCGCCCGCGAAGAATGCCAGGCGGCGGTACCGCTGGGCGTCCGATTCATTCTTTCTGTTAACTGTTAAGCCAACCATGTGTATATGTAGTGTAGGTCTATTGTAAGTGTAATAAATATATATCGAATATAAAAATAAAAAAAAAAACACAGGAGGGGCGTAAAGTTAAAGTCGCCGAGTACGGGCGCTCCCGCGTAATCCGCTTTGTGTGTGGGCTGCGACATGCCCCTAACGAACCTGAGTGCAGGCCGGCCGGCAGAAGCAGTGGAGAACACTCACCTGCAGCGGCAAGCCGCGGTTGTCCACGGACGATCAGGAAAACCCGATATCCAAATCCAGTGTTCTGGGCCGGCGGCGAGAGCGGAGAGAGTGGTGAGAGCATTCCTTACAGTTTTTTGCCCCATTGTTGTTGCCTCCTTCAGTGCAATGTTCCTTCCACGGTAAATGTGGCTGCCCCCGCAGCATATGCCACTCACGCCAGCTGATGGAAAGATCAGCTGTGATGTGTTGGGTAGCTCCCAGGCAACCCTCGCCAGGCGGCTCTGAGTAGATCTGCCCAGCAGAGGGCGCTAGTGCGCCAACCATTGCTGCGGACGAAAGCTGCCTGCTGCAGCACGCACTTGTCCCACACCAATCCAGGAGGGAGCATACCTTTCAGGGCTGCTGCTCCTGATCCTTGGTTTGAGGAATTGGAGGGAGCATACCTTTCAGGGCTGCTGCTCCTGATTGGTTTGAGGAAGTGGGATCGGCACGAAACTCGTGACCAAGGCCCGCACAGGGGACTAAATGGTAGTAAAAGTCAAGGAGCTGACCAACAACCTCTCCGCTCTGCGGCTCACCTTTAAAATCGGGGCTCTGGTGACCGAGCAGGAGCGGTATAACCCCCACCTGGTAAGTCTCGGGGAAAGCCCTGACCCTCGAGGGACCCCACAAGTGCACACGCCTTCCCTCCACACCCCTCCACGTAGCGTTTGTCCCATAATGGGCGGCTACGTGATCTGCGTCTGCGCAACATTGGCCGGCAGAAGAACAAACCTGGCAGCAGGCACTAGCTGCAATAAATTCCTTAAACCCAGGTAGCGTCTGACCCACATTGGGCGGCTACCTGGTCTGCGTCTGGGTCACATTGGCCGGCAGCTAAACTCACCTGGCAGGAGGTATAAAATGCAGCCCTTACATTGGGCGAAAATGCTAAATTAATTCGCAAAACGAATCTACTCTAGGTGGCAACCATACACGTGGAAATCCACCCGCGGGAGAACCCTAGGCTAGGTCAAGGAGTCTGGAGGCCCTAAAAAACATTCCCCCCAAGCACTGACGTGGCGGTGGCTGACTTGGCCGCCACGGTAGTTAATACGTCAAGCCATGAAAATGAGATAAACGACGGTCCCATGGCCTTCAGAAGGAGCAGCAGGGTTTTAAAATCCCCGATCCTCCCAGCGAGCAAGGCTCCGGTACCGGTAGCAGGAGATAGTGCGGATTCCCTAACGCCCAAAAGGACACGGGACTCCGCCAGCCCAGCAGGCTCTCAGCGCAAGACGCCTCCGAAGAGATGCAGGGAATCCCAGTGTCCCTCGCGGAGCTGGGCAAGATTCTGGATGATGTGCTCGTCGACATCAACAACAAGCAGGTCCGGCACATAACCTTGGCGACGAAGACCAAGCTAGCGCGGGTGAAAGATCTGCAAACCGACATAGGAGAGCGGCTCAGCTCCGCTCGGAAACCCGAGGAGACGGATTTATCCGCTCCAGCAGTAGCATGCTACAAATGCTCTCAAGGCGGGAACAACACGGAGAGCACCCAGAGACGGGATGCAGTGCAACAGACCCCCAAAGTCTGGAGCAAGGATGGCTCAACGCAGACGGAGTCGCAGCGAGCCCCGACCAACACCGAGAAACCGCAAGCAAGGGCGGCCAACGCTAGCGCGAAGAACTAGCGGCGCGCCCCCGTGCCGGCTGGAGCTGCTAGGCAGGAAAAACCTCCGATAGAGGGACTCCCGCAACCAGCACGCCCAAACCCAGGGTACCCAACCCGCCGCAGCCAATCGGTTCAGCGACTGAAGGCCCAGAAGCCGAGGGAGGCGCCTGGAAAACCTTCACAAGGAAAAAGGGAAAACTTACAGTGAAATCCTGGCCATGGTCACCAGAAAGGATGACAGCCAGCTCGCAGGCCTGGGTAACTCCGTGAAAAAGGTCAGACGCACCACAAACGGAAACCTTTTGTTAGAGATGGCGAAGAATAGCGCTGAGAGCGCAGCGTCAATGCGAACGAGCATAGCGCAGGTGCTTGGCGACATGGCGGAGGTTCGGGCGATGTCAGAGGACTCTAAGGTCTCGGTACTCGCGTGAGCGCTGGCAGAAAGGCGCCAACCGATCCTAAGGCTCTCGAAGGCATAGCCCGGGTGCTATTTCCGCCTGGGCTACCGCTCAATTTCCGTGTGAGCAGCGAGTCCTTAGAGATATGCCCGGTCTCGGAGTAGGAGACCCTAGTGTCTGCGAGGACAATTCAAAACAAGAAGGCGCCAGGTCCCGATTCGATCCCTAACAGGGCGACCAAACTGCTGCTCTCTGCACGCCGAAGCGATCGCTGAGATATTCAACAAGTTCTTGGCGGAAGGCAGAGAGATGGAAATGCCAGAAGCTCCTTCTTCTCCCGAACCCGGGAAAGCCAGCGGGCAAGGCGTCGTCGTACAGACCTATCTGTCTGCTGGACACGATTGGGAAAATGTTCGAGAAGGCGATTGCTTCAAGGCTGGAGGCTGCAATAGAGAGCGCTGGCGGGCTCTCGCCAAACCAGTTCGGCTTCCGGAAGAGGAGATCGAGCCTGGATGCCATCGAAACGGTCACTAACCTGGCAGCGAACGCCATCGCTGGCGCTAGATGGAAAAAGGGCGCCAAGGAGTACTGTCTGGTGGTAACACTAGACATCCGGAACGCTTTCAACTCTGCGGATTGGAGGCGGACACTGGAGGCTCTAGAAGCCTTTAACATCACTGGATACCTGCTGAGGATAGTCCGCAGTTATTTCAGCGAGAGGACTCTCATCGTCGACACGTCCCTAGGTACCAGAACACACGAGGGCTCAGCCGGAGTCCCGCAGGTCTCCGTCCTGGGACCGCTGCTCTGGAACACGATGTATAACGGGGTTCTAAACCTCCCGATATCCTCGAACATCACTATCGTCGGCTTTGCCGATGACGTGGCGCTGGTGGTCGCGGCTAAGGAGCTGGCAGACGCAGAGACAGCGGCAAACTGAGCGATCTGTGCGGTCGAGTCCTTGCTTGCAGTCTCCGGCCTCGAACTGGCCTCGCACAAGACCTAAGCAGTCCTGATCTCAAGCAGGAAGCGCGTGGAAATGGCGGAGATCCGGGTAGGTGAACTTCCAATCACCTCGCAGCGCGCACTGAGGTACCTGTGCGTCATCCTGGACATACGCCTCTGCTTCAGAGAACACCTTGAGTATCTTCACAAAAAAGCCAGCGTAACCGCAAGATCTCTCACCAGGATCCTGCTAAACACCAGGAGGCCCAAGCAGTGCAAGAGGAAGCTGCTCACGAGCGTCGTTACGTCGCAACTCCTCTATGCAGCCCCAGCCTGGGCGGTGGCTGTGAGAGTCAAGAGCTACGTGGTGCAAGAAGCTCAGGAAGCCCGCCTCTTACGTGAGCCAGGAAACTCTTCGGCAAGGCGCGAGGTCAGGAGCAGTGCCAGGCGCAGGAGCATCGCCCGGTGGCAGTGCAGGTGGGACCCACAAAGGGTCGTTGGACTCACCGCCTGATTCCTGACATCCAAAGCTGGATCGGCCGAAAGCACGGCGAGGTAGACTTATACCTGACACAAGCACTCAGTGGACACGGTTATTTTCGAAGCTACCTCAAGCGATACGGCCACGACTCAGAGGACCACTGCCCTGAATGCGGTACCGGAGTGAAAGAGAACGTGCACCACGTTCTTTTTGAATGCCATCGATTTTACCACGAGCGGCTAGCTCTGGAGGAGGTCGTGGGCGTTGCCATCGGAGCTGTAGTAGCTGTAGTCCCCACCATGCTTTCCAGCCAGAAGGCCTGGGACGCGACTGCCATGTTCGTGGCAAGCGTCATGAAAACGCTGAGGACCCTGGAGACGGAGAGAAGGATGCGCGCGGAGTAGGTGGCCCGTACCTCGCGCGAAGCAATGCTTAGCAGCGGTACCGCGCGACCACGGCCGTAAAACAAAGCAGCCTTCAAACCAACAATCCGCAATCTTCGTTCTTTCTTTGTTGTTATTTGTCTACTACTAAGATTAAAATTGTTAATTAAATGGAATATAAAAAAAACACACACAAACGGCAAGAAGCCACAAACGGCGCGAAGCCAAAAATAAACCCGCGAAGGGAAATTAAAACAAGCACAGAAGCTTTGAATTACGCGCGCAAGAAGGGCTGATCTTCGGCGATAGTAGCAGCGTCTGGCAACGCTACGATCGATCGCGGCTGCCGGCAGAAGTAGGTCACGGCCACATTGCCGAATTAGGTTAATTTAATTGGTGAAAAATTCTTGAGCAAAGAAGTCAAGCCCCTCCGAAAAGATTTTTTTTTTTTTTTTTTTTTTTAGGCTTTGCTTTTATTTATTGAATCTTCTCATTTATGAGACTAACAATAAGTGTATCAAATCTTACAATACTAACTAACTAGCAGTCATGAGACTGGTACAGAGTAAATGGCCCTGACTAATTATGGCTGGGTATGATGGTCGTTACGTAGTAGGCGGCTTCTTCTGGAAACTCGTATCAAGTCCCTTGCTAAAGGATTTGGATGGGTGGAGAGTTTTTCCTTGTATGACGCTTTTTGTTTTTCTATTTCGTTCTTAACTGCAGGAATGCCGAGATCCCTGTGGATGTGTTCGTTGTGAATATACCATGGTGCTCCAGTGATAGTTCTCAGGATGTTTGATTGGGCGCGCTGTATGATGTCTAGATTGGTACTGCACGCGTTCCCCCAGAGCTGGGAGCCATACGTCCATATTGGCTTCAGTGTGGAGTTGTAGAGCAGGACCTTGTGGTCCAGACACAGGGGCGATCGGGAGTTTATGAGCCAGTGGAGGCTGCTGGCTTTTAGTTTTAGATGAATTTTCTTGCATTCAATGTGTCTTCGCCATGTTAGGCGTCTGTCCAGGTGGACGCCCAGGTACGTTACCACGTTGACTTCGGGGATCTGCGTGCTGTTCAGGTAGAGCGGAGGGCATGTTTGTCTGTTGAGAGTGAACGTTATGTGCTTACACTTATGTTCATTTATTTTAATACGCCAATCAGATAGCCACTTCTCGACTACCTTGAGGTGGTTGGCGAGCTGGGTTGTTGCCCGGATTGGACATCTGGAACGGCTTAGGATCGTAGTGTCGCCAGCGAAAGTGGATAGTGTTAGCTGGTCGCTTGTGGGGATATCCGCTGTGTATAGGACAAATAGGGTAGGCCCAAGTGCGCTTCCTTGTGGGACTCCAGCTTCGATTGAATAGGTGCCGGATGTTGTTGCGTTGCACCTCACTGCGAAGACTCTGTTGTAGAGATACGACTCAAGTAATTTGTGTATGCCGGCAAGAGTGTTTTAATTTTGTGCATGAGGCCATTGAGCCAGACGCGGTCGAATGCTTGAGAAACGTCTAGAAATATTGCGCTGCAATATTCTCGATGTTCAAAGGCTGTGCGAATTTCTGATGTTATTCTGTTAACTTGCTCTATAGTTCCATGCTTTTCTCTGAAGCCAAATTGATGAGCTGGGAAGAGCTGAGAATTATGCGCTTTAGTAGGCATTTTTCAAATAACTTGGACAAGCATGATAGTAGACTTATTGGTCGGTAGGATGGTGGAATTGTGTGGTCTTATCCGGGCTTCGGTATCATTATAATTATAGATTTTTCCATTTAGTTGGGTAATGGCCGAGACTTATGATCCCATTGAAGATTTTACAGATGACCCCAATAGCACAGTTCGGAAGTTCAATTATCATTTTTTGAGTTATTAGGTCATCGCCGGGAGCCTTTTTCGGCTTCAGTTCCCTGATGACCTTCGTGATCTCGTTCGGACGAAATGATGCTGGAGTAGATTCCGTTTCAGTTTGGTTTTGCGGTAGTTCAAATGGATGTGCAGCAGGGTTCGGCTGGAAAACGCCCTGGAGATGTGAGGCAAAAGTTTCGGATCTGTCTTTGTCGCTGCGGGCCCAACAACCAGATGATTTTCTAATCGGGGTAATGGTTTCAGTCGGAGAGCTTAAGTTTGGGTGAGCTCTCCATAAGGGATGCTTTGTGCTGGTTGGTGAGAGTTTCTCAATATATCTTAATTGTACATTTTCGGCATCTTGCTACAGGGCCCGGCTTAGTTTGCGTGTGGCTTCATTTAGACGTTGCTTTGAGCATGGCGATCTATTGTTTTGCCACGCCCGTCGCAGACGCCTCTTTTCTTGGATAAGCTGTTCAATCTGCTGGTTCGTTTTGAATTTGATTTTTTGCACATCCTTCTGTTGTGGTGTTGAGATCCTGGCTGCAGTCACAAGTACCTCTTCCAGAGCGGAGGTGGTGGAGTCGATGTTGGCTTCAGTATTGAGCTGGAGGGCTAGCGCTATGTGGGAACTCACATACTTTTTGTATTTCATCCAATTTGTTCTGTGCGACGTCAGCCTGTGAGAGCGATCCGCAGTTTCTGGGCTTTAAAGGAGGGTTATCAACAGCGGCGAGTGATCTGAAGAAAGGTCCGGAAGGGCCTTGGCGTTTATTAGATTGCGTGGGATGTTTTTTGTCACCGCAAAGTCGATTAGATCAGGTATCTTTCTGGGGTCTGCTGGCCAGTAGGTGGGGCTACCAGGGGAAACGTAGTCCAGTTTATATCTCACACTGATGAGAGCGTTATACAGTTGTCTTCCCTTGGGGGTCACGAGGCGGGATCCCCAATGCGTGTGCTTGGCGTTGTAATCTCCTGCAGCTATGAAACGATCTCCAAGAGAGTTGTAAAAGTCCATGAATTGGCCTTCGGAGATTGTAAAGCGAGGTGGGCAGTAGACAGCAGCAATGCAAAGGTTGCCGATACCTGACTGCACTTTAATGGACGTAGCTTGCAAGTAATTTGTTGCAAACCTTTGGTGGAAGTGGTGTTTGATGCGTTCTCTGATAAGGATGCCGGTCCCGCCATGGGCTTTACCATCTGGATGATCTGTGCGGTGGAAGGTATAACCTCTTATATGAAAGTTGTATCTGCTTGTGAGGTGCGTTTCAACCAGTAGCATGGCGTCGATGTGGTTTTCGTTTAGAAATTGTGTTAGTTCAAGTTTATGCCGTGAGACGCCGTTGGCATTCCCCGTGGATATACGCAGATTGGACATTGATTATTATGACTGTTATGCTACAAGCAGCTGTATCCCCATATTCTGATTCTGGACGAGCGTTTGCATGGTCGTTTTCATAAATGACATGAGTTCCATCATGCTTTGTTGCATGGTCACCATCATGGATTCCAGGTTGTTTTGTGGCTGCCCTGGGGCCTGCTGAGCATTTACTGAGTTTGAGGGGAGTGGATTTTGCATACCTGTCCGTAGAGCTTCGGCGTAGGAGATGCCCGTGGGGGCATTTAGCGGACCAAAAGAAGATCTGGCTGCTTTGGCAAAAAATACATCTGGAGTAGTTTTTGAATTATAATACACATTTTGTGTATTTAGTTGGCGTGTGGCTGTTGCTCTTCGCATGCGACTCTTCAGCTCCTTGTAGACCACACAGCCTCTGTAGTTAGCTGTATGGTTTCCTCCACAGTTTCCACATTTTTTCGTGTTGGGGTCTTCTTTGTTCGCAGGGCAGTGTGCGGAGTTGTGGAAATCTCCACAGACTATGCAGACTGACCGAAGGGTGCAGTATGTCCTTGTATGACCATACTCCTGGCAATTTGTGCATTGCACAGGACCGTTGCGTTTGTGCGGTTCTTCCACGGTGATTCTTCGATGCAGTAGGAACTGCAGCTTGTAGATCGGGTGAACTTCATTCTTCTTTAGGGCTTTACTGTCTGACTCAAGTTCGACTTTGAAAAGAGGTTGCGGCTTTTTGTTTTTGTTGATAATGTTGCTAACATTCTTGGAAAAGAAACCCGTGCCTTTCAGGGCTTCTAGTATCTCAGAGGGGGCGACTTCTGGTTCAATTAATTTCAGCACTACTTGCAGTCCCTTGCTGCTTTTTAGTTGGTAGGTGTGTGACGCTGCGCGCACAAAGTAAGGAATATTAGGATAAATAAGAATAGAATATAAGCAAAACGGAAAAGAAAACAAAAGAAAATGAAGTAGCAGAACCAAAATAAACAAGAATAGAATATAAGCAAAACTGAAAAGAAAACAAAAGAAAATGAAGTAGCAGAACCAAAAAGAAACCAAAAGAAACATGAAGTAATAATAGTCACTAAGAACACAAATGTAAACGAAAGTGAAAAGAAAACAAAACGAAATGAAGTAGCTGCAATAAACACAAAAAGCACGGGAACATGAAGTGTTTCAATCGAGCAAACTCGAAGAAAGAGGAAAAAGGAAGACACACGCGAATTTAAATCAAAAGCGCGCGCGCGCACGGTCAACGGACGGCCACACTGGCTATACGACGGCTGGGCACACTATCGGAGGCCAAAACCGACAAGCGAGCTGGCCACACTAGGGCCTCGCCGAGCCCTATATAAAGCGGGCCACGGCACTGGAGCAGGCACTCAGCCGCTGATTGCGATTGTAATCACCCAAGCAGCCAAGTCACTTTTTCTGGAACCAGGTATACCCAGGTTCCAACCAATACATTGTAGTTAGTCGTAGTCCTCCCCGCTAACCTTTCTTCCCCCTCTCTGCTGACTTTCGAGTCCAAACTCTGCTGACTTTCGAGTCCAAATCGTTGCCGACTTTCGGGTCCACGCTCTGCCGACTTTCGAGTCCAATCTCTGCCGACTTTCGAGTCCGATCTCTGCTGACTTTCGAGTCCAAACTCTGCTGACTTTCGAGTCCAAATCTCTGCCGACTTTCGAGTCCGATCTCTGCTGACTTTCGAGTCCAAAACTCTGCTGACTTTCGAGTCCAAATCTCTGCTGACTTTCGAGTCCAAATCTCTGCCGACTTTCGAGTCCGATCTCTGCTGACTTTCGAGTCCAAAACTCTGCTGACTTTC